TGTGTGTGTGTGTGTGGGGGGGGGTTGTAAAGACAGACAGGCAGATAAACGTTGGCTGATGGTTGCCAACTCCCGGTTCGAACTCCAGGACATAGGGTTGCCAACTCCAGGTTGGAAACTTCCAGGATATTTTAGGGATGAAGCCTGCTGAGGGTGGGGTCTGAGGAGGAGGAGGAAGAGGGGGACCTCAGACAGATACAATGCCATACTGCCCACACTCCAGACAAGCTGTTGCCAGTCTCCAGGTGACAGCTGGAGAGCTCTTAAAGCTTTGGTGCTCATTCAAACTGTTGCAATTTATCGACAGAGTAGTGTTTCGGAAAATCTTTAGGAATTGTTTGGTGCATTTACGATGGGGCTCCTGGGGAACTATTGTTGCCAATCTTGGCCCAGCAGCCATCAAACCATTCTCTTCAACCCCCTGCTGTGCAGCTGACTTTCCCCTAGGGTTGCCAATCTCCAGGTGGGACCTGGAGATCTCCCACTGTTACAATTGATCTCCAGATGACAGAGATCAGTTCCCCTGGAGAAAATGGATGGTTTGGAGGGTAGACCCTATGACATTATACCTGCTGAGTCCTTCCGCCCCCCCGCCCAATGCTGCCCTCTACAGACTCCACCCCCCAAACCTCCAGGTATTTCCCTCCTTATAGCTGGCAACCCTACTTTCCCCTCAGTGCCTGTTGGTAGGCAACTAAGCTTGGTCCTGTCACCTACTTTGGCCTTTGGGAGAAAACACATTGGGGCCAATCCTGATAGGGTTGCCAACTCCAGATGGGAAATTCCTGGAGACTTGAGGGATGGAGCCTGAAGAGGGTGAGGTTTGAGGAGGGGTGGGACCTCAGACAGGTACACTGCCATAGACTCCACCCTCCAAACCAGTCAGTCCCACATAGGGAACCATTGTTGCCAATCTCCAGGTGTGGGCTGGAGAGCACTCAGAATTACAACTGCTCTGCAGAAGGGAGGGCAGAAGTCAGCTGAAGTCAAAGGGGCAGATAATGGTAGGTTGATGGTTAGCTGGGAAGGATCCAGGCTGGCAAATTCCTGGGGATTTGAGGAGTGGAGCCTGGAGAAGGTGGGGTTTGCAGAGGGGTGGGACCTCAGACAGGTAGAATGCCATAGACTCCACCCTCCAAACCAGTCAGTCCCACATAGGGAACCATTGTTGCCAATCTCCAGGTGAGGGCTACAGATTACTCACAATTACAACTGCTCTTCAGGTAGCAGAGATCAGTTCCTCTGGAGAAAACAGTGGACTTTGTCATTATACCCTGCTGAGGTCACCACAGCAAATTGACACTGTTTGCCCAAAGCCAGAGCACTCCCCCAGAGCCTCTTTCTAGATCTCGTTGTATTTATTTCCACAACGGGCCTTATTCCTAGTATATATATAAAAGAAAGTCCCCTCACTGTAAAATCAACGCCCAGGCCAAACCGCTGGACCTAGAAACACCAAATTTGGGGAGAGCGCTCCTACCATGACATAGATGCTTACTAAGAACCCCTAAGGGGGTCAAAAGGGGTAAAATGTGCTCCCCCATTGATTCCTATGCGGCTGCCAGGCTGCTGCCTCCTTGCACCCCCCAATCTCTGATTGGTCAGCTGAGGAGCTCAGTGTTCTGAGGTAAAAAACAAACAAACAACAGTTACAGAAGAATGTACAGAGCTAATGACAGTTGAGGAAATCAGGAACAGCCAACAACCACCTGTGAGGTGCAGTAATGCTGCTGGCCCAGCCGCTCTGATGGCTTCCAACACACTCCCCCCACCTCCTCCACCTAACAGGTGGGTCAGCTGCAGCAGTGGTTGCAGGATGCTTAAAGCCCCGAGAGAGCCTGCCCCAGCAGTAATGCCTTAGTGATCCTGCCAGCCCAGCCTCCACAGTGGCTTCTAGTACTCCCCCCTCCCCCTCCTACAGGCAGCTGCCTGTCAGGTGTAGGAGAGGAGGTGGGATGCTTACAGCTGCCAGGGAGGTTTGCTCAGCAGGATTGCCTTAGCCCTGCTGCTGGCCCAGCCTCTCCAATGCCTTTAAATACAATCCCCCCCCCAACACCAGACAGGCGTAGGAGCAGGGCCAGGGTACTGTAATCCATCAGGGACGCTGCCCCAGCAGGATCACCTTAGTGATGCTGCTGGCCCAGCCTCTCTGATGGCTTCCAACACACTCCCCCCACCTCCTACATCTAAGAGGTGGTTATCTGTCAGGTGCAGCAGTTGTTGAAGGGTGCTTAAAGCCACGAGGGAGCCCGCCCCAGCAGTAATGCCTTAGTGATCCTGCTGGCCCCGCCTCCACAGTGGCTTCTAATACTCCTCCCCCCCTTCCCCTCCTACACTGGACAGGCAGCTGCCAGGAGAAGGCAACTTAGAAATGCAGCAAAGACATTTGCACATAGTATTCCTCCGGTGCACTGAGCTATGCAGGCCAAGTACCAGCAAGATCACCTTGAGGTGCTCAGAACAACACAGTCTCCATATGAGCAAAACAATCCAGGAACACAAGTAGAGAGGTGGCAGGAGTTGACTTAACAGACGACTGCTTCTTAAATGGACGGTTCTATGTTACCTGCTCCAGAGTGAGCTCATCAAGCAGCCTGGTGATCCTAGCACCTGAGGGCAGAACCACGAATGTGGTCTAGAGAGAGGTCCTTCGATAGAGGTTAAAAAAAAGTATGTATGTCTCACTTCATTTTTTACACTACAATCTTCTCCACTAGAATTCCTACAACAAATGTCACATTTCAAACTTCACATCATCGGTATTAAAACTGGATTTACAGAACTTAAATACCATAGTGAAGCACAGGTATCAGGCTAGTTTCAAATATATACAAAGGTAATTAACAGCATCATCCAAAGAACATTTTCCTGGTAGATTTTTGGCAGGGAGCAGAAAACAGAGGTTTAAATGGCTGGGAGGCAAAAGCTGTGGCAAGAAGAAAGCAGGGGATGAAATGGTTCCAAGCCATCTAAACCCCTGCTTTTTGCTCCCCACTGCTTTTTGCAGGGAGCAGAAAATAGGGGGTTTTTTTTACATTTTCTTTTTCAAATGTTTTGATTTTTGCGTTTTTGTATTTTTATGGGAATGGAAAGTCTGCACAGACCTTTCCCCATCACCACAATTTTCTTTCTTTTCCAGGGAGAGCTCATTTAAGACAGCTCCCTTCCAAAGATTTTCCTTTTTGATTTTTTCCTTTTATCTTTCCATGTTTATAACACCAATGGGAAGAAGCCTCGATGTGACCTACCTGGGGATTTTTGGTCAATTTTCTTGCCAACTCCAGCTTTGAGCCACAGACAGTGAGTTTGTTTGCCGGCTTAGAATCGCCTGGCAGCCCCCATGTTTAAGAAATCTTTTTCAATCTTTGTTTGAGTGTTAACAAAGACAGGCACCCCGCCCCCCCCTCCTGCTCTGTGTAGGAATCCAGGGTCCGAGTGCCTGCCATGAAGACAAGTCTCGCCCCCTGCAGGGAAGAGCGGGAGCTTTTTGAATTGTGACTGAATGACAAACTGTTTTTTTTCTAAAATGCTGCTTCAGTTAAAGTATGAATGTGTGTGTGCCTGGAATTATTGTTCTGGCAGAAATAACATCATGGTAACGAATGGTGTGCGCATGGATTTTTGTTTACTTTTGTAAAGTATGTGTAGTTCGCTATGGTTAGAGTGTGCATGTCTGTATGCCTGATTTTATTTTTCCACAAAAGAACACATTAAGAGAGTGAATGATGTGTGTCTGCATTTGTGGCTAGATCATTGTTTATTTTTATAAAATGTGTCTAGTGCTGGATTTTTATGTCCCATGATGCATTGGAAACTAAGGGGGGAGACGTTATTGATTATGCATAACCATGCCCCTCTTCATCGATTAAGATCCTCCCATGCCATACATGCCATGTATGGTATTGAACTGGAGGCCCCCTGCCTTGCAAAAGCCAGAATTGCATGCGGCCGTGTGCAGGCTTTGCTGTTTATTCTGCTGCTAAGATAAAAGGAGTCCGAGGATTCCTTTCACTCAGGAATACAATAATGTGTTTTGTTTCCTTGATTGTAAATATCTCAGCTAACTATTTGTTTGTGCTACTGTGAGATGTATTTCTGCTGAGGACTTCCCTCAACAGGCCTACACAATGTTATGAGTTATGTACTAACTATTTTTCTGTTTTTGTTTTCTTGGAAGTAGGTTTGACATCCATGGTTGCCAATGTACATACTTGCTATGTGCCAAAAAGGGAGCCTTATGCTTGTCTGATTCTGCATCCCCTTTATTGAGCTGGTTATTCTTGTTAGGATTAGGACATTTTTCAATAAAAAAAATCTGTTTCCCATCGAGTAGATCTTAGCTAGTCCACCATGTGGGAGCCTGGGAACCATCCTGTTTGCTGGTGCCTGCCTTGCATCAACTGTGTTCCTGTTCCTGCATCACCAATGGACTTTGGACTATGTGCTCTTCCACACACCAGACTATGGGTTACCAACGAACTTGGACTAACTTCATCCCCTCTACCTGCTTGGCATGTTTCTGCTACACATGCTGCCTCCATTGAGTGACCGCCTTCGTCGTGGACAGGGAGGCTGGAAGTGCTGATTCTTGGTGGGACACACGTTGTGAAGAGGCAGACGTGGACATGGGGAGGCTAGATGTAACGCTTCTTGGTGGGACACAGTTCATGGGACACAAGTTGTGAGGAGACAGACATGGACAGGGGAGGCTGGAAGATATGATAGGACATGAATTTACATAGTTCCAATGCACTGGAACTGTATGGAAGATAATTTCTGTAGGGAGCTTTAACCTTTGTCAAGAATGAGTCTCACAAGTCCTTCTTTGTGCTTGGACTAATCAAATTGATGGAGAAGAAAAAGGTGAAAATGAGCACAGAAAAAGTTACATAAGTTGGCATGGAGTAAGAACAGAAATAACCACTTTACAAAAATTTTATTACAAATTTTACATCTTTGGATCAGTGTTAATTTTAAAGATCAGTGTTGACAAGTTAGACATTTGAGGTTTCATATTTTTGAAATGTAAGCTTGACAAAAACATTCTGTACAAGTGTATAAAAATGGTGATGAAACACCCTGGGGGGTACTTATTGTTTTGTCTTTTTATGAGCTGCACTGATATAAATAATATTTCTGTACAGGGCTGACTTCAGATCTTGGGAGCACTTTCACAGACTGAAGTTTTCCAAATCAATGGTACTATAGTTGAGCCATGTCATATTGCCTTCTCATGGACCTGGTGAAATGGGACAAAACCTGACTTTGTAAACTGCAGCTGTCTTCAGCTGTGGTTTGACAAGGGGTGGCACCTGAGGCTGCCAGAGCCTGCCCGGACCTCTCACCTCTTGTTATGCCCCCCAGGACAGACAGCAATCCATGACCCATCCTCTTGCTACGGGCCTATCCTTACGCTTAACATGAACAAAATAAGCTTTTTAATACAAAGTCAGGCCATTGGTCCAACTAGCTCCATTTGTCTATCTGATCTGGGTCTCTGGCAGAGAGAGGCCTTTCCCAACACCTATTCCCTGAAGCCTTTTACCTGGAGATGCAAAAGATTTCACCTGAGATCTCCTGAGCGTCTCCTATCACTGAACCACGTCCCCTCCCCAGAACAATTCTGCACCCAACATGGCTCATGTATTGAAGGTTCGTGACTCGCTGACACCTTAGGATGAATTTGCATGTTTGTTCACCACAGTGCCACAATTTTTTTAAAAGGCACAGCTGTGAATAGTTAATTTCTAGTAACATGCATAGGGATACCATGCCACTCACTAAGCAGCGCCCAGAAATGGCATAGCACATGTTAACTCGCAGTTAGTTCCATAACAGTTGTTCCTATGTCACTTCAGTTATCAAAGTTATTCAAAATAACCAGAAACAGGTATCTATAACTTAAAATATTCCTTTATTGTGAAAGGAACAAGACTGACAGTGATGTCCTAAGCAGAGTTGCGGGCTTCTGTGATCACTGATTTCAGTGGATTTAGAAGGGTATAACTGTGCTTATGGTGGCACAGTGAGTCCCTGAAGAATTCTATTAGTGATTATGACTTTAAAATTAAAAAGGGTAAGTGTTGGTGGAGCACCCCTGAAATTGTTACCAACCACCAGCGCGTGTATTATTGTGAAGATGGCAGAAGTTGTGAGAGAGATCCAGGATGTCTAAAAAAGTCAAAAGGGTTGAAGTGATAATTTCAGAAATGGAGGCTTGGCTCTCATGAATGAGCTCAGAGCATGCTAGATGGCCTTTGTTGTGGAAAAGGCTTCCGCTTCCTCCAGAACTTCCATTTGCTTCAGATCATTTGCTTTCAAGGAGCCCTTGCACAAATGGAAGTTTTAGCAGAAGAGGAAGCATGCTGCGTGACAGAGGCTCTCTAAAACATACAGGACTTGTTCATAGGATCCAAACCAATAAGCTCAATATACTTTTTAATTTGAACAAGTAGCATCTGCCTTGTTCAAGTCATCTGGAGCTGACAGCAAGCTCATGGACCTACAGTGTCAAGAAAGAAGGTGGGGGAGAGATACTGATGCTCCTACCTTAAACTAATGGTTTAAATGAAGTTTGGTCTCTCACAAGTCTGTAAATCTATGAAAATAAATTTATTATAACAATCACCCAGTTTAACATATCTCAAAGAAACTTTCCCCAACTGGTAAAACTCTTAACGACTAGTATATGAAAACCCCTTGATAGTTGGATTTATTTTCAGGGACATCAGGCGTAGACGAATACAGTAGGAGTAATGTTATTAAAGGATGGTCTCCTTTTTAAAACTACTCCACACTGACTTCTGCATGGTACCTGAAATGATATACAACATTTATATAACATTAAGCATTTGACAGTTTGGTTCTGTCAGAACATCTCCAGTGTCCAACTGACATGTTTTGGAGATAATTCTGCTCCGTTCCTTGGGGAAGTCAGTTCTACAACCCAGATACCTTACTTAAATTCCTGTAAGCCCATCCAGTCTTGAATACTGAGAATGTCACATTCTGTAACCACAAAATTCACATTTTTGCAAGAGGAATAAAATCTGTGGATTTTTAACATTGGCACAAACTTCTGAATTTATACATGTCATCACGTGTGTTCAGAGCCAATGCATACAGGGTGAGTATGCTGCTCCTCACACACATTTCCCCAAATGTGATCACAGCGCCTATGAACAATCAAGCTGTACGTTTCCTGGTTCCCTGTGACCAGGAACATTTGTTACCAATCATTACCAAACCTGGGGATGGAGTCTGCGCATGTATACACCATGCACCTCTAGCTGTTGTACCCATGTGTACACACAGGCAAGTGGCAGGACCAGTGCACCCATTTGCCAGCAGGGGCAGTGCACTCATTCCTTAATACATGCATAGTCTATGTACGCATACAGACGTGGATCCTGTAGGACATTTCCACAGATGGAAGGGATACTTGATTTTGAAGCCACCTCTCCCCTTCCGCTGTAGCCCAAACTATCCCCTGAAATCTATTAATTTATTTTATTAGACTTAAATGCTGCTCCATTCCCTGCCAGGCAGGGCTCACGGCAACTTACAACAATCTATTATAATTTAAAACCTAAAACTTTTTTACTGCATCAGATGGTGCCCTAATATCTGCTGTTCTTGGGGGACAGGGGACCTGCAGGAGCAATGCAGGAGGGGAGGTGGAGGTCTGTAGTGGAAAGGATGAACTGGCAAAAATCACACACACACTCTTATTTTCCTCCACAAAAATGCTCTGTGGGATACATGCCATATTGTGCGCGGACAGGGTTTACGCACATTCAAAGAGCTAGAAATATGTAAAAAACTAAAACAGAATCTGATTCTTGGGCTGCAGCATCCTCTGCCCAATACCAAATTTTGCACTACACGGTGCACCTGCAGGATTGTGAAATATGCACCATGCACACTGTGGATACTACTACTACCCACTACTTATTCCCTGGGAATGTCCCTGGGCCAGCCTGAGAGACATCCTGGAGTTCTCTGCTTCCCAGGCCACTATTTGCCCTGTGTACCGATGGGCCACATGTTATGTTTTCCCAGCAAGGCAATAGTAGTTCTCTAGCACTGTTTCCTGTTGGGAAAACTGTGTGTGTGTGTATATGTGTGTGAGGGTGGGTGGGTGGATGTGGAGGGGCGGTAGAAGCACTTTCTCCCTGTGTGCTGCCATCCAAATCCAAATTGAGCCCGTAGGCACTAAGAAACTACAGAACTGCAGAATGTCTCTCTTGAACCAACCCACATATGTCTCTGGGGGGGAAATGTAACATGTAGTTAGGCCCTGACTCATACAGAGATGGAAGTATACTGAGATGGAAGAATGAAATACAAAGCAGTCCCTGAATATGAAGAGGTTCAGTAAAATTCTGTTGTGTCTACTCCCCGCCCCGAGTACGCACCCATTTTCTGTTTTTCTATGCAGTCATAAGGGCAAGAAATATGCTGATTTTTAATTTCAAATTCTGTGGGTTTTGGAGAGCCATACTTAGCCATATTCTGTGCTCTACAGCTGGAACCATTCAGATGCTGCACCTGTTTGCAGGGATCATAACAGGTTGAATGTGATTCTGATGAAAAGCACTTTAATCTGCAGCCACACATCCCAAACTTCAGACTTACTGACTGAAAGAACTGCTAACTATTAACAACCCACCCTAAAACCCTTGAAGGGGCCTTTACAAAGTGCCTTGCAATTCAAGAAGACCTTCCGAGCCTAGTATTTGAGGCATTCGATCTTCTAACACTGTACATTCCTCAAGCCATTAAGAGTCACTTTTCCATGCGTGTAAATGTCTTCATCTGTGCCTTGGTTAAGGTGCTTCACCATATTCTTCTCGAAGAGCAGTGGGTGGTAGGCACCCATGGTGCAGGCTTGGTCAAAGAACTTCTGGAAATAATGACAAATGTCTGTTTGCCTTTTGGAAGGAAGAAACTCGTAAACATCCACTTTGTCACACAAGTGCATCATGATAACAATACCTACAAGGGAAAAGAAGAGAAATATAGGGCTGCATCAGAGTGGCAGACAGAAATTAGAAAACCATCAAAATACTTTTCTTGTTTTGCCCTGACTGGGATAGCCCAGGCAAGCCCAATCTCGGAAGCTAAGCAGGGTTGACTCTGGCAAGTAACTTAGATGGGAGCAGGGGTCATTTCCTGCAGGAGCGCACAGGAGCGAAGCTCTGGCAGTAAAGAGCCCAGGGGGCAGGCACATGCAACAAGCCCTGCCCCCTGCTCCCAGCAGCCCTCAGTCAGAGCAAGAAGCAGCCAGGTAAGTGTCAGAGCCCCCCCGGGCCCCCAGTCCAAAACAGTCCAGTGGTACCTTTAATATCAATGTTTATTCAGGTACAAGCTCTCCCTCCTCTGCGAGGACAGATCTGCACGTTCCCCCCCCCCCAATAGCTAGCAATCCAAAACAGTCCAGTGGAGCCTGAGCGATGGGTGTTGCCTTCTGACACACTTCCAGTGATGTCATGGGGTGTGGCATATGCAAATAAGTTATGCTAATGAGTTATGCTAATGAGCTCCTGCATCTCTTTTTCTATGAGATGACCCCTGGATGGGAGACCTCTGAGGAATACCAAAGGCAGGGACAGGCTTTATTCAGTCACCTCTCTGAAAACCCCCCAGGCCCCCCAGTAAGGGTCAGTCACCAGAGGCTGCCGTGACTTCCAGGTGCAAACACACTCACATGCACGCACACACACACACACTTTTCTTGTTTTAAAAAAATGACAAAACTTCACATACTGTAGAGGTGTTGAAAGATCACTTCTCCCTCCCCTGACAGCTGCAGTTCAATAGTTGCTTAATGGTTCATTGACCTTCAATACTAATTCCTGGGTGCTGAACAAGAGTGGATTATGCAGATAATCATGTGTGTGTGGGAGAAATACTTCTGAAACTGCAATCTGCACACCAATCATGCCTGTGGTCCATACAAATCTCTTAGAAACCAGGGCTTAATTTATGAAAAGAGAACCTTATGCTTGTCACTCACACCTTCTGACCTGAATGATTTACCATGGTTACGGATCCATGCAACTTAGTTCTGAAGTGAAGAAGGTTGGGATCTGGGTCAGTACCTCAATGGGAAATTATCTAGATAGCATTTTGAACTGCTTAGAGTATGACAGTAGTAATCTGAAGGTATGAGTTGCCAGATAAACAGCACAGTCTTAAACGCTGATGTAAAGTACTGGGTTCGACGCATGGAGAACTCGGACCATGACAGGCATTCAGACGCGTTTATTGTACTTCACAAGACACACAAAATGGTCCTGCAAGGCCAACTATATACACTCCACCTGGCACACCTCTGTCCCCATTGGAGGGTTTGAATCTCCCACCAAGGGTGCTATTGGTAGACTCCCGGTGGACTAGGATCCTAGGTCCCCTTTGTGTTTGGGGACCAAGCTCCTGCTTTAACTGCGGATCCCTGGTGGCGGTCCACGTACATAACACCCCTACCCCCTTAGTCTCGATTCAACCTATGTTACATAATCCTTCAGATAGGTGGGGGTCTGCGCTTTGGGAGGTAACGCCAGGGCGCTGGCACGGGGTTGTTTATGGCCGCCTCTGGCTGGCTGACCATTTCTGGTTGTGACGAGGGTGGTGGCGGCTCTTCAGGTTCTGACGGTGTGGCTGGGTACTCGACTGGTAGGGGCTCACCTGTGTTGGGGAGTTCGGGTCGAGTGCTGGCTGGTGGTGCATAGAGTCCTGGGCCCTCAAGCTGGGGTTGTTCTTCCACCTCCGGGGGTTGTTGCCGCCGAAGTTGGTCAATGTGTTTTCTTAGGAGTTGGCCATCCTGGGTAGAGACCTCATAGGAGACCGGGTTGGTGACTTGGACTACCCGGCCTGCAATCCAGGAGGGCCCCTTTGTTCCATCAGATGCCATGAGTCCGGTGCCTGGTTGGGATATGGCAGTCCAACAGGATCGTGGGACGCCGGCCCATCAGCAGTTCAGCTAGGCAGCGGCCAGTAATGGGGTTGGGTGTCGTCTGCTGAGTCAGTAGTAAGCGGGCGAGCCAGAACTTCCAGTCCCCATCTGAGATCCGGCTGAGGGTTTCCTTTGCTGTGCGAACCATCCTTTCTGCTTGACCATTGGTCGCGGGGTGGAATGGTGCTGATCTTACGTGCCGGACCAGGTTCCGCTGTAGGAAGTCCTGGAACTCCGCGGACATGAAGTCAGTCCCGTTGTTGGATACAATCGTGTCCGGCAGCCCATGGGTTGAGAAGATCCGGTGGAGCGAGCGTATGACGGCCTTCATGGAGGTGGTGGACATGGGGCTGATCTCCAACCATTTGGAGTAGGAGTCTACTGTTACTAGAAATAACAGCCCCTGGAAGGGCCCGGCAAAGTCAATATGTAGCTGGGACCAAGGTTTGTGTGTAGACGTCCATGACTGGGTTGGCGCGCTAGGCGGGTTTGGGTGGACCGCTTGGCAGGTCTGGCATCTCCTTACCCAGTCCTTACCCAGTACACTCGAGGATTACCTTCGGGGCCAGGAGACTCTTTGCGAGCTGGATGGTGTGCATGCCACAAGAGCTGAGGAGGAAAGCCCTTCTCTTGCCTGCATCGGTGATCTCATGGAAGGCGAGATGGCAGGTCAACTGGTCAGTCCACGAATCCCAGAGCTCAGGATGAGTGGGGTCGAAAACCTCTAGGTGTCCCTGAGCGGAGGCCATGGCTCTAATGCGGAGTGGGGAGTGGTGTTCAGCGATGCCGGGTGTGGTGCTGCTCGGGAGCAATGCGAGGCACGGTGGCGTTTCTGGAACGATGCTCGGTGCTGTGCTGGAAGGTGAGCCTGGCGTGCTCATTGGGATCCCATCCTTGTCGCCACTGTAAAGTATTGGGTTTGACGCATGGAGAACTTGGACCACGACATGCGTTCAGACGCGCTTATTGTACTTCACAACAAGACACACAAAACGGTTCTGCAAGGCCAACTATATACACTCCATCTGGCACACCTCTGTCCCCATTGGAGGGTTTGAATCTCCGGCCAAGGGTGCTATTGGTGGACTCCTGGTGGAGTAGGATCCTAGGTCCCCTTTGTGTTTGGGGACCAAGCTCCTGCTTTAACCGCGGACCCCTGGTGGTGGTCCGCATACATAACAGCTGAAGTTACTGAGCTTGCAATGTGCAACTCTGCTTTAGGATTCCACTGCAAGTTTGCATGTGCTCAGTCACAAGGGACCTGTGCAGTTTGGTGTAGTGGTTAAGTGTGGACTCTAATCTGGGAGAACCAAGTTTGATTCCCCACTCCTCCACTTGCAGCTGTTGGATGACCTTGGGCAAGGCATAGTTCTGGCACAGCTGTTCTTGAAAAAGAGCAGTTTCTGTCAGAGCTCTCTCAGCCCCACCTACCTCACAGGATGTCTGTTGTGGGGAGGGGAAGAGAGAGGAGTTTGTAAGCCGCTCTGAGACTCCTTTGGGTAGTGAAGGGCGGGGTATAAATCCAATCTCTTCTTCTTCTTCTTCTTCTTCAGGACCAGTTCCACCATGAGGCCATGTGAGGCAGACACCTCAGGTCATGGTTTTTAGGTGGCATCTACTTCCTGTCTTGTCTACTCATTTCCTGACTTCTGGCCCACCAGCCCTCATCCCCACCTTCCTCTGGGAGTCAAAGCAGTTTAACTTCCTTGCTTCCTCAGCCCACTTCAAATACAGCATGGCACACCACACGTGTCTTATAAAACTTCCCAAATACTCACAAGAAAGAGCTTGGCCATTGTTTTTGTTGTCCTGGTAACACTACTGATTAGCATAGTTGCTGAGGTAACCCAAAGAATCTCCAAAGTCTTGCAAAAGGATGTAATGTTGAAAGCCCACAGGGCATATGTGGCTTGTGTGTGGCTTGGGGAAGTGAGAAGGCCAGAAGGATTACTTCTTTCTGGCGGAGGGAAGGGCAAAGTGGGGTGGGGGAGGTGGCCTTAGGCAGCAAAAGCTGGCACTGCTCCCTCTCAACCAAATAACCCTGGGGCTTGATTAATTCTGGCGGTTATAATGCAAGAAAAACAGGGAAACTCTCTGTCAAGCTTGTGAACTGCCTGGCAATGACAGTATTGCATCCTAGCATAAAGCTTAAAAATAATACCAAAGGACACTAGCATTTGGCTAGAAGTAGCTTTTCTTCTGTATGTTGGGAAATGGAGGGGATGATATAGGTTCTGCTTTATTACAAAAAGAACATACTAAGTTATGGAAATTGGATAAAATTCCGAGTGAAGAAGAGTTAAATGCTAAGCTGTTAACATTAGCAGAGATGGACAGAGTGACTGTTCAAATGCAAGGCAAAGATGATGGCATATTTGTGAAAAGATGGTCGAGGGTAGAAAGATTAGAGACGCTTTGATTGTGCATGGACCACCACAGTGAAGAAACAGTGACTGCTATAATCTTTTCCTGGGTGAAGCTATACTGCCTTCTACTGGACTCTACCTCTGTGCAATGCAGAATTCCCACCTATACATCCAGAATAAGCAAAAAAAGTTTTTGTTGCTTGTATTTATGTACATATCACACACACCTTTTAGGAATAGTGCTTGGAGAGTGAGGGTGAAGACTAGGGGTGTGAGGCCAGTGGTGGGGCTTTAGGGGCAGAGCCCCTTGCAATTAAGGCAGAGCCCCAACACGGCACCCTAGCAGAAAGAGCACCGCTCCATGCCGCTGCCCAGGCGTGGCAACTGTCCCCATCTGCCCTCTCCACCACCACCACCACTGGAGCAAATCCAGAGGTAGGAAGGAACCTGCTCCCTGGCTACCAGAGGGGGTGGAAAGTAGGCAGGCTGTGGCAGGGCTGTGCCCCCAAGCTTTTTTCTGCCCCTCGTGCTGCCCTGCCCCGAGAGTGAGGGGAGGCATCTTGTGACCCGGAGATGGCTGGGCCTGGGGTAAAGATTACATTTAATCTAATTATGGGTATTGCTAAATATCAAAAGCACCCTTGAACTGGCTATAAATCTGACTTCAGTGGAGG